TATTGTACTTTTTACTGTACTACATCTCAGAGGTACATATTGTACTTGTTACTCTTTAAAACTCTAACTCTTGGATCAGTTGTAAAATTCATCATCACAAAGCTGAAAATGTCTTTGTAGAGATACGAGGTTCTCAGGTATTTTCATAGTGTGGTATTAAGACTTTTACTGCAGTAGAGGTTGTGAATACACCGCTGAGGTCAGAGGTCATGTTGATGTGTTGGTGTGTTGCAGCGGTGCAGGGGTCAGGGGTCATGTTCAAGAACATAGAAGTCACGCTTCACAAAGACGGAAACAGCTTCGGCTTCGTCATCAGAGGTGAGTGGAGCTCATTGTGTGTGTGTGTGTGTGTGTGTGTTATTATAAATACATGGCTGTGTGTCTGCAGGTGGAGCTCATGAAGACAGGAACAAGTCACGCCCGATCGTTATAACAACCGTCAGGCCCGGCGGTCCGGCTGACAGGTGCGTTACCTCTGACCTCTCTGTCTCACCTGGAGGGTCTTTTTGTCCCTCTGGAGCCTCTGTAGAAACTGAAAAACATCCTCTCTCTCTCTCTCCCTCTCTCTCTCTCTCTCTCCAGAGAAGGAACCGTAAAGCCGGGCGACCGGTTGCTAAGCATCGACGGGATTCGTCTCCACGGCAGCACGCTATCGGAGGCCATGAGCATCCTGAAGCAGTGTGGACAGGAAGCCACGCTGCTGCTGGAGTACGACGTCTCGGTGATGGGTCAGTTCAATCCCTCTGTTTAATCCCACGTAGTCGCGTGGCTACGACTCCACGCAGTCGCGTGGCTACGACTCCACGCCGTCGCGTGGCTACGACTCAACGCAGTCGCGTGGCTACGACTCCACGCAGTCGCGTGGCTACGACTCCACTTAGTCGCGTGGCTACGACTCCACTTAGTCGCGTGGCTACGACTCCACGTAGCCGCGTGGCTACGACTCCGCTTAGTCGCGTGGCTACGACTCCACGCAGTCGGGTGGCTACGACTCCACGCAGTCGCGTGGCTACGACTCAACTTAGTCGCGTGGCTACGACTCCACGTAGTCGCGTGGCTACGACTCCACGCAGTCGGGTGGCTACGACTCCACGCAGTCGCGTGGCTACGACTCAACTTAGTCGCGTGGCTACGATTCCACTTAGTCACGTGGCTACGACTCCACGCAGTCGCGTGGCTACGACTCCACGCAGTCACGTGGCTACGACTCAACTTAGTCGCGTGGCTACGACTCCACGTAGTCGCGTGGCTACGACTCCACGTAGTCGCGTGGCTACGACTCCACTTAGTCGCGTGGCTACGACTCAACGTAGTCGCGTGGCTACGACTCAACGTAGTCGCGTAGTCCCTTCTGAAGCATTATACTTGGACCTAACGAACACAAACTAGAACTAAACCTTTCTGAGGAACTGAAACTACGAATAAAACTAGTAAACAAGCTCTGAAAACTAAACTCAAAGGAAAAAGTCAAAACTAAAATGTCTTTGTCGTTGTTGTCAGATTCGGTTGCCACAGCGTCGGGGCCGCTGCTGGTGGAGGTTGCGAAGGCGACGGGCTCCAGTCTGGGCGTGGCTCTGTCCACCTCCATGTTCTGCAGCAAGCAGGTCATCGTCATCGACAAGGTGAAACCAGCCAGCATAGCAGACAGGTAACCTCACCTCTGATCTCTGACCCCAACCAACCATTTAGCCACAGATATCGAGACCTACGTAACTAAAATACAATTTTCCAACAATTTGAAAATAAAAACGTCATTTAACTTAACTTGTTCAGTGGACAAAATTCAAGTTTATTTTATCATTTTGTCAAAGTCCCCTCAACAACATGAACTAATATATTTGGAGATATTAACTAACCACAAAAACACATTTCTTTTTCTTCTTCTTCTTCTTCTTCTTCTTCAGATGTGGCGCTCTTCATGCAGGAGATCACATTCTGTCTGTTGACGGGAAGTCGATGGAGTTTTGTTCTCTGGCTGAAGCCACTCAGCTGCTTTCTGCCTCCTGTCAGACTGTCCGCATGGAGATCCTGCCTCAGCACCAGGCCCGACCGGCCCTGAACGCACCACAACATGGTATAAACACACAGAACAGGCCCTGAACGCACCACAACATGGTATAAACACACAGAACAGGCCCTGAACGCACCACAACATGGTATAAATACACACACACCAGGCTAGACCGGCCCTGAATGCACCACAGTACGTTATAAACACACACACACCAGGCCCGAATGGCCCTGAATGCACCACAGCACGGTATAAACACAAAAAAAGAGCACGAATGCAGAAGAGGATTCTGATCTTGAGCCTGTTTATCCGACAGCATATGGACAACAATCTGTCTCGTCCACATTTCAACAGAAGGGCTGATGATAAAGTAGATTTCTCAGCCAAGTAAGAAAGAATGGTTTACAATCATTATGAATCTGCATCTTCAGTGGTAGAATTCAACGAATACAGACTGAATAAACAGTGTTTGTCTCTTTTTGTAACTTT